TTCATTGCCTTTTGTGTCAGCCAGATTGCAGGAAGCAATCGAGTGTGTTGTAAGTGATGTCTTGGCGTGTTCCAGTGTAATACTGAACTGCACTCAGTGGCTTGACTTGGGTTTTTCCAATTTAAGAATCAAAGCTTCAGCTCAGCAACAAACCTGCCTGGTTTATTGCTGAACAACAGCCAGAGCATGTTTTGCTTACCGTGATTCAAAATTTAGAGGAATAAAATGGCTGAAAAAATAAAGGTGCATGAGGAATTCCTGAGTAAAGAAAGTTCACTGTTAATGAAAGAGAAATACTTTCCCTTGTCTTCAGAGAAGGTGGAGGGTTATCTGGGCTCAGAGCACATGAGCAGCCTGCAGAGGCAAGCTGCAAGCTGCCATCTCTTTCTTTCCTTTGCCAGGCTGAGCAGGAGTCAAAAGGTTCTGAAGCTGCTATGGAACAGGATGTGAGGAAGGCTTAGGGTCATCAGAAATTAAGCACATGTAGCTGGAAGGGACAGGACATTGTTATAACTTTGAGTATCATCATCTCCATGAAGGACTTTGCTGCCCCTCAGGGAAATCCCCTGTGGCAGGGTGGCTTGGGAAGGGGCACACATTGCCACAGGGCAGCAGCTTCAGGCTGGTCCACACAAACTCTGTATGAGCTCTGTGATGCTCCCAGGTGAGGAGAAGAAGCTGAAGGTGGAGCTGCTGCTACCTGGCTCTGTGAAGGCTTCTTCCTGTGCTGCTTCCCTTTCCTTATGCTGTGCTACCTGGAACTGTGCTCCAGGCAAGCCAAACATTAGTAAATTGTGCAGCAAAGGGCTTTCAGATCAGTTAGGGTGAGAGCTGGCCTCCTTCTGCTTGTGGCTTCCTGGCACCAACCTGAACTGCATGACAGCAGCATTACCATTCCCCTTCCTCTCTTGGGGCTTCCTGCATCGTCTCTGGAGCTGGTCAGGATCCTCCTGCTGGGGAGGAAGCCTCAGGTTTGAAAGGATGAGACCCAGCCTGCCTGGGAGCTGAGGGTGGAGGGCTGTGGGTGATCTTGGTGGACCCTTTGAACATACCAAGTGCTGCAGGATGCAGCTGATTGTTTGTAATCAGGCAACAGAGTGATCAGCTGTTTTTATCTCTCTGAAACCTCACTCCCAGCTGGAGGGTGGGATGGTGTCTGCCCCCTCACTTCCCAGGGTTGTGCAGAGTGGTCATTTACCTTAAACTTGGTGAAGCCCCTAGTTGCTACAGCAGTTAGTGCCACAGAAAAGCCCAGAAGAAATGAATTCTAGTGCCAGAGGCAGGTTTGAACAAGTAGCATCACATGCTGGGCAGTGAGCAGAGACAGCTTCACATCAAGACTGAGGTTTCACATACCCTGGCCCTTCTTCATTTCCCAAGCAGCTTTCTTTGGTCTTCCTGCACCTTTCCCTGCTTTGTGCCCACGGGAGAAAAGAGGGGTCTCTGCATTCTCACCTGGCCCAGGGAGCAGGCTACTTTGGCTCCTGGCAGAAGTGGCCTGCCTGTGACCACAGCACTCTCTAGGGAGTCTTTGGAGCCCCAGGACTGCCACAGGAGGGTCTGCAGAAGGTAGGTAGGATGTAAGCCTGTTACTGAGTCCAGATGTCATTTATACTCTAAATGGGAAAAAACTGTCAGGGTGAGAAATTCAGAAAAGGTTGCAGATTGCTCAGAGAACTTGCTATTTTAAAACTTACAAATACCTTTTATTTTTTTCCCCTATATTTGAAATTTTGCTAAATTTGATGCATAGATTGAAAAATTGCCATTTCTCTTTCTTAGTTTCAAGCTTGGAAAGGTTTGGACTCTCTCTCTCTTCCCCACACAAAAGCTGTCTCAGCCTGAGCAGGCATAAATATTTTTATCAGACTTAAATAGCTTGGGCTGAAGTTAAAAGCAAGGGAAAAGAGCAGCCTTTGTTATGGGGAATGCTGGAGCGCCATAACAGGCAGTGCTACTGGTTTCACCTGTATTATTGAGTCTTTCATTTAGCCAGAAAAGCTGCGTCTGAGAGGTGTGGGAATGCTCTGCCCTTCCACCCTGGCTGCTGCCAAGGGCAGGCTCCACTGACTTTGGCCACTGAGCAGCATTGACCTTAAGCCTTCATTGAGGTTAATGTTTGGCTTCATTTTCTGGAGTGAGTAGCTGCAGTAGCAAAAGGGCAGTTTTGACCATTGCTCTGGGCTGAAAACAGACATGCCTCTTGCCAATCAGTGTGATCTGAAGATCTTGTCACTTCCAGTTTCCAGAGGCTGATGCCTGTAGCGCTTGCTGAGGGAAGAGGTTGCTGCAAAATGAGCTGGGGTATCCTACAATGTCAGTGTGACCCGGAGTGAATTCAGCTGAGCCAGCCACTGATGGACCTGGGGCTGTCTGGCCTAACCCCTGCTGCTAGCAGAGCTTTGGGACAGGTAACCTGTGGCAGCAGTGTCACCATGGGCAGCTGGGCATGAGAAAGGAGATCCTAAGGAAGCTGGTTTCTTTCAGCCTTACACACCTCAGAAGTAAAGTGGTAACAGTAAAACATTTCATCTGCGGGGACAGTGGCCGGGCAGAGCAGAGCAGTGATGTCATCCTGGTCAAGACTGCAAGAAGGAGGCACCTGGTCCCTGGTCATGTTATTTTTAAGCTTGGAAGGCACACGTGGTCTGCAAGAGGGTAGCACTAAGGAAAGGAACTCACCAGCACTTCCTGCCCTGCCCCAGCAAACTGATAAAGCCCTTTGCAATGCAGGGCAACCTCAGTTTATTTTTAAAGTGTGGCCGGGTATGGAGCTCACAGAATAACTGGAACACCCAGATTTGGGGATTAATTCAGCTTTAATTCATTGCCTGATGAATTAAAGAGTTAATGTAAATGTAAAAAAGGACAAGATAGGGCCACAAACTATTTCCAGAGCAATGTCTGCATAAGAACATTCATCTCTGCATGTGTATGGGATCTGAAAAAAAGGTAGCTGGTAAATGTTACACAGGGAGGGGCATGGAGCATTATCCTGAGCACCGTGTGAATTTTCTTGCTGCTTGAACAATGCATCTCAATCCTGTTCCCTTCCCTTGTTATTCCAGTCTCAGCCCTCTCATAAGCAAAGATAATTGTGTGCTGAGGGATACAGTTCCCATGTACAGTAACTGCTCACATTGAGGAAATCCAGATTCCTGCAATCAAAACCAGCAGTTTGTTGTGCAGTTACCATAACAAGGTCCACTGGGGTGGATCTATCTTTATTGTGTGCCCTGTGGAGGTATAAATGAGATTGCCAGAGATATTTTCCTTCTTGCCCAGATGCTGGGACAGCAGGATTGCTGTGGCACCAAAACATGCTGGGTTCAAGACAGGAAGGAGCTATTCCAGAGGATGGGAATTACAGCCCTGAGCCCCTAGAGCACACAGAGTGCCTCACCATCTCTTGGCTCTCTGTGAAACGGCTTCATTCCCACAGCAGAATTACTTAGGAATGAGATTGCTATTTCTGGTCTGATTGATGAAGTATGTTATTGGTAGACTTTATTTCTGTAACAGAAACCCTTCTCTCTCAAGCACTTTTGAGGCATTAAAGCAGATGTCCTAAAATTTCCCAGCTGGAAGAAATGTCCCTGCTTGTCCATCTTGTCCTTCTGATCTTCCTGTGCTAGGACTGAGAGGTGATTTTGCTAGAAAGGGGAACTGGTGAGCTTCCAACATCACAGCAACCTCAGACAACCTCAGATTTTACTGCCCTGAGCAGGCACTTGGGCTCTTGATAGTGATGCCAGCCCTCCAGAAACAGAAATGCCAGCTGGGAGGAGACAGCCCAGGTTTTAGCCTGGGCACCATCTGGCCCAGCCCTCTAGGAGGCTTTGTCACCACAAGGCAGAGACCCTGGCAATGGGGCCATGTCCCAGAAGGCTGGGAATTAAATCCTTTCATTGTGAGCCCCATGGCACAAAAAGCTTTATTAAATGTGGGGCTGGAGCAGCAGAGCCAGTAACCACACAAAGCCACTCCAAAACACCCCAGTGGTCTCAGTCATGCCAAGGGCCTGTGCAAGGGGTGACACACGGGGCTGCTGCTGGCCCATGGCTGGGATGGGGCTCACAGCCTTGTTGAGGTCACTGCAAATAGGAGTGAGCTGGCTGCAAGCCAGCTTAAGGGGTGCTTGGGGGAGATGGTTTAGATCAGAGCCATGGTGTTTACTAACGTCCTCCACAGGTCAGTAGTGTAGTAAGCACCAAAAATAAGGAGCCTGGTGCTTTTAGAACCATTGGGCTAAAGGAAACACTTTCCATTTTAGCAGAGTCTCTGTCTGTGCCCTTTTTCTGGGAACTGCGATCATGAGGCATCCTGGGGGCCAGGAGGGTTTTCCACAGCCTCATCCTGATGGTGCTGAAAGGCAGGAGGAGCTTTGCCTGTAATGCCTGCTTAGAAGCACAAAACTGTGCAGGCTTGTTCCCACCAAGGTGCAGCTCACCAGCAGGGCCATAAAGGTTGCCCTGATCCAGGCAGGCTGTGTGGGTTCCCAGACATACTTAACATGGAACGTAGCCAGGACAGACCTGCCTATGCCACTGCCACATCTGAAATATTAACTTTATCTTGAGGAAGAGCAGTGCTCATCTCTAGTCCTGCTTTTAGACGGCTGGGGAGGTTCTGCCTGCTTATTTCTTTCCTTTTCTGTCCAGGGAATTTGAAAGGAGAGGCAAAGGAAGGACGTGCCCTTCCATACTGTCCAACAGCATCGTAGTGGGTTGACAGCAGGAAGTGCCTTCAGAGCTCTGTTTTTCCAAGTTCATTTGATAAGAGCCACTTTCATCCTCACGATCAGCTGATAAAGCCTCTTTGGGAAGCTGGTTGATAACTTGCAGAAATGGGTGTGCACTTAGTGGTTTCTAGATTCAAGCTTTTTTTCCTGGGCTGGAAAGAATGTCAAAGTTCTTGTTGCATGAGGAGTTTCTTTCAGTTTTGCACCTGAGGGAATATATTCCAAGTCATGGGTTATTTCACCTTTCTTTCTCTTCCAGGGAAGGAACTGCCATGCCCGTGGGACTCTTCCGGGTGTGCCTACTGGTGATTACAGCTATTGTCAACCACCCGCTCTTCTTCCCTAAGGAGAATGGCACCGTCCCCGAGAACACAGAAGAAATCATCCAGAAGATGAAGGAGCGGGAGGAGAGCCTGCGGCTGGAGCAGTTGCGCTTGGAGCAGGAAATTGCAGACCAGGAAGCCACACAGAAGGCTCTGGAAAAGGCTGCAGTGGTAGTGGAGGAAAGCAAAGAGGAGAAGGTCCGATGGGATATGTGGACTGCCCTCTCCATGGTCATCTTCCTGCTGATCGAGCTCTGGAGGCAGGATTTCCAGGAAGGGAATTGGCAGGACATAGGAGGAGAAGAGGATGACATGGCAGTCCTGGGGAAAGCATTTAAAGGAGTGGCCTTGCCCGACAAGGCTGTCCTGGCCAGCTTCTATGAGAAGCGTATCCTGGGTACCACTGGAGACATGGCCAGGATGCGGGAGATGGTGGAAGGCTTTGCAGATGACCTGCTGGAGGCCTTGAGGAGCGTTTGTAACCGGGATGCTGACATGGAAGTGGAAGATTGCATGGGCGTGGGGAGCATGTATGAGAACTGGAGAGTGCGTAAACCCTTCGTCTGTGATCTGATAGTGCCTTTTGCTCCCCCAGAGCCTTACTGCTTTTGCTGCCAGACCTGGTGCTCTGGTGACTCTTTTCCCCCAGATGAACAAGGTTATGGCACTATCAAGGTGTGCAGGGCAGATGAGGATCAGACAGGTTGCATCTGTGACAAGACTAAACTAGGGGAAGATATGCTGTGCCTCCTCCATAGCCAAGTCAGTAGTACCAGGCCCAGCAGTGAGATGGAGGACCTCCTGTGCTTCAAAAATACTCAATATCTGGATGCTGACCAAGTCATGAAGTGGTTCCAGATTGCTGTCACCAAGGCCTGGAACAGAATCTCCCACAAATATGAATTTGACCTTTCCTTCAGCCTCCTGGACTCACCAGGAGCCCTGAAGATAAAATTTAAATCGGGGAAATCGATTGCCTTCAACCTCACCCCTGTGGTGCAGTATGAGAACTCTGATGTTTACTTCATCTCCCACTTCCCTCGGAGCAGCCTGGTAGCAGACATCCCCTCCAGCACCCACTGGTTTCTCACTTTTGCAGTTTATGAGAGGAGGTTCATCCAGCTGGTCTCCAAAACACTGCCTGCCAATGCCTGCCACGTCAGCTGCCTTCAGATCCTCTCCTTCCTCCATGGGAAGCAGTGCAGCCTCACAGGTCCCAGCGGGCTCACCAACTACCACCTGAAGACAGTGCTGCTGCATCTCCTGCAGGCTCGTCCCAGCCAGGACTGGGCCCCAGAAAAGCTGGAGGCCCGCCTACAGGACATGCTGAAATTCCTAGAGAAATGTTTGCATGAAAAGAAGCTTTATCACTTCTTTATTGGCAATGGGAAGGTACCAGCAGAGCTGGGTTTCCCCATCATATTTCAGAGGGCTGAGCCTCTCAACCTTTTCCGTCCCTTTGTGCTACGCAGGGACATTTACAGGAAGATGGTGGACACGTTCCACGAGATGCTCAGGAACATGTCTGCATTGATAAATGAGTACACGGTGCACATTCCCCTTGCACACACCAATGGGATCCGTAAGGAACCCCTTTAACCAAAGCCAAACTCTAAGCACAAGTCCAGAGGGCAACTTTCTGAAGCCTTCTGGAGACAACTGACTTTGCCAATGGAGCTTCTTGTGTGGAGCTGAACCAGTCCTGGGCCATGGTTCCTGCTGAAAGGAAGAGGCTTGGGGGGAAGAATAGGGAGAAACTGGAAGATGTGGTGGTGAAGTAGGTTTCTGTTCCACTGCTGTGCTTGGTTTTGTGCAGCTAAGAATATATTTTTTCTATTGTGCTTCAGTCATGCTACAGCAGTGGTGAGCAACAAATAGAAGTAATTTATTCAGATGCCTGCAATGCAAATGGGGGTGGGGGTGTGATGGTGGCCAAATACTTCATTTCCTTCAGAAGGGGCAGATAAGAACAGGGTGGAGGAATCAAAGACAGGATCTTGGGATCAAAGGAGCCTGTCTGCTTGCAGACAGCAGGAGCTCTTTCACCAATGGGAAGTGCAACATAAGTCTACATGCTGGTGTGGAGAGGAGGAGGGTCATGCACAAGATCTGGACTGGATGGAGATCCTTAAAGCACAGCTGCAAAAGGGTACTGTAGTTAAAAAGGAGAAGAAGAAAACAAAAGCCTTCTTGATTGAACTTGCAGCAGTAACTTAAATGGCTTGTCCTGTCTTTCAAAAATACCCCTGCACCTTTTTTCTCCTCTGGGAGGATGTAGCAGAGCAGGGTCTGTCTTCAGACCATTTCATTCAAGTCTTCCATGGTAACATGGCTAGTGATTTACATTCCTGCCCATTTTGTATGGATTCATGAACAGGAACCTTTATTATCTTAGCTAAAAGAAACACCACTACTGGGTTCTGATATTTTGGGTTGTTTGTTTTCCGTACCTTGGGGCACTAAGGTGTGATAACAGCCTAGAGAGAAAGGAAAAGCAGGGCTTGAACTGTATCAGCTTTGAAGGTCCCTTCCAGTCTAAACTACTCTGATTCTATACTGCTGTAAGTTTTGCTTTCACAAAAGAAGCAGTTCTCCAAAATTATCCTGCAATGAAGCCGATCTCAGAAGTCTGGTAGCAGGAGTGAACAATCACCCTCCAAATGAGATTGTGACTCTCTGCACATGGTTTTAATTAGGCCAAGGCCAGCAGGAGGGAGAAGGAAGGGATGAAAAAGATGCACATGTAGTAGATCTGGGCAGTGCTGCTTGCAGCTGCTTTATGATCCATGTTGCATCCCTTCTGCTCCACATATGCAGGCAAAAGCTACTTTGTACATTCTCCTCAATCTTTTTAAAGACTGCTGCTCTGAGGACCTGCACTATAAACTGTAATTTGCTGAGCTGGGAGTGCAAAGGGGGAGAGCTGCTGCAGGCTTTCAGGCCAGGGGAGAGTCTTGAGGTGTGTGCTAAAACAAAAACCAAAACATTGCAGAAATGGAAATGCCTGAAATCCCACAGGAAGCATGTTAGTGCTGTGCCATTGGGCTGCCCAGCCCCAGAAGGTGGCTTTGCTGAAGGAGAGGACTCAGGAGATCCTCATTCTTCTGAGTGTGGGTTCCAAACCAGGGCCCCAGTGCATAATTGCTTTATGCTAGTCCCAGAAGCCTGGCCTCCAGTGCTAGGGGGCCTTTCCTACCTTTTTCTCACACTAGGATTTCCTGCAAAGTTTTACACTAGGGCTTCCCTTAATCCTGTTTACAAGCGGGTGGTTGTTCTGTGAGGTAGGACCCATCAGGGATGCTTTTACCATCACTCCACAGGGCTCTTTTCATCAATCCTCTCTATCACATCAGAGAGAAGATTCAATCCCGTATCACTGCTGGTAACAGCACACAGCATGAAGCTTGTTATCCAGCGTTATCCAGTTGATAAGCAAACTCTCCACAGACATGTCCTCTTGTCTCTTTTCCTGGTAAAAACTGTTTCACCACCTCATTGGTGTCTGTTCTTCTCTGTCCTGCCACCACTGAGGGACACTTCACACACAAAGGCAGAGAAAGCTGTAACTCCTGTCTCCACACCTGGTTTGTAAGAAAGCACAGATGGTGACAGAGCTATTCCCAAAGTGCTGCCTCCCTTGGCTTTTATTACCATAGGTAGTTAAGTAAGGTCTCTGAACAGAAAGTAAAGGGTAGGTAGGAATGGGGGAGAAGAGGCTGGTGGGTAGTGACAGTAGGAAAAAGTCTTGGATCATAGTGCTTGCTTCAGCATCTTTGGTGATGAGTTTCTGGTAGACTGCCAGGAGAGCAACAGGGCAGGACTAATTGCTGACGCTAACGAGTGCTGTAAATCCCTGGCTTTCCTTAGTACAGCCAAGGTGGCTTTCCCCAGTAGGAAAGAGAGCAGGAGCAATCTCAAGGGCCATGGCAAGCAGGTAGTGACAAGCAAGGTACAGGGAGGGTGGGTCAGTACTGGAGCCTGGAGGCTACCTCAGAAGCTGCATAAGTCATTTGCAAACCCAGGTGATTTGCCATTTTTACCTGCCCAGGTTTACTGCAAAGTGCCTGTAGCAGACCCAGCTTTACATAGACTGCTGGCAGGCAGGTCACGCTGGAGCAGTTGTGGTTGATCTAAATGTGCTCCTAGCCCAGCCAGAGAGAAATTAGAATTTCTCTGCCATTTCCTGTCAGGAGTCTAAATTTAGACTGTCCAAAGAACAGAAACAAATTTGTGACCCAGGTCTCTCAGGAAATGACATTCAGAGTTGAAAAATAACTTTTATATAAGGTTGAGCAGGAGGACCATCAGAAGAAAAGGCTGTTGAACAGAATAAGGTAACTCCCTTATTAAAATGTCAGAAGAAAGCTTTGCAACACCAAAGGGCTTGTAAACGTGCCCAAACTCGTCTTTACACAGCCCCAAGCACTGCTGCTCAGACTCAAAGGGAACCTGAACTGATAAGTGGATTGAATCTTTTGTTCTTTGTTTTCTGTACTTGTATGCCTGTTCTCTCTTGTGCCCAAACTGACCCTGAAGTATTCCCATGGGGTTTAGTTGAACAGAAGCTGGATCTGAATCAAGTAATTTATGGATTTGATTCCACTGAAAGCAAATTGCTTGGCTTAGTTTTCCTACATGCAATATGCTCATTTTTCCCTGAGCACTTTTGGAGTGATCTGGTCTGTGCATTTAGGCTGTGAGGGGACCCATTCATACCTGTTGGGGGGAAATATTATCTGTGATTATAAGCTGTGCTCCAGTCAGCCTCAGAGTGGAGATCTTCCTTGCAAACCAAAGGTACAGACGTCCCATCAGAGGAGAGGCTGCTACACCGTGTTTCTTTGGATCACACATCTGCCATGGTACAAGGAGGCCATGATGTGAAGCACATCATTCCTTGGACTTCCTTGTCTCTTCTGGATCAAATCTTTGCCCACCAAATACTAGCCTATTTGTAAAAGCCCATGCTCACATTTCACAAAAAAAGGTTCATAAGACAATTCAGTTCCATCAGCTGCCAGCCAGTAAAAATGTCCTAAAACATTTTAGTGTTGCCCATGGGCAGTTCTGCCTTGATTGAAATCTAGGTGAGTAATCATAGGAAGCAGCTTTTAAGGATGGGAGTAGAAGCGAGATTTTGTGGTTTAAAGTGAAAAATGTCCTTTTAAAACCAAACTGCTTACGGCACCTGAGTAACAAACATCTCTTTGGCAATGCCTGTATCTCTGTGAGACATCCTAAGGAAAGGTAAACAGCCTGTCCTGGACTCTCGATACTGTTCTTGTCATTTGCTAACCAAGTGAATTCAACACATGAACTCCAAGTGCCTTCCACTGGTTTCCAGCCACTCCCTGAGCCCTCAGCTTGTGGTTTTAATATTTTATTACAGGCTCTGTCAAAGCAGTGGAATTAGTGGTGAGTTGATAGCAACCACTGATCTACAGCATAGCCTCAGGAGCCATTTGCCCTTAGAAAATGTCTTGGTCTAAGGTTATTATTGCTGTACAGGAGCTGCATGTCTTCTAAGGGGCGGTGTTGGGTGTTCACTGTTAAGCAGCCACAGAAAAGAGTTTCTCTCTTTCCAAGCTGCTCTGTATACAGGTATATACAGGGGTATAAAGATGTAGTTTAGCAAAATGATCCAAAAATTTATCCAGTATTCAAGCAGCAGGATTTTGTGTTCGTTCACCAGCCATTTTTAATGCAAAGTCTTTGCAGTGTTTTCTCTGAGGTGAAGAAATTAGACTTTAGGCACCTGTAACAGCTTTGTCATAGGACCCTACCTGGTAAACAGCTTTATTTATTACTTGTCCTTTTTTTAGAATTGGGGGGGGTCTGTGTGTAACGTGTTAGCTCAGAAGCAAAACTAGTACAGAGATGAATCTTGGCAATGCAGCCAAGATGGGCAGTAACACCAGAACTCTCCAGACAAAGGTCTTCCTTGATGGACAAGGCTGTACTTAAACCGCTGCTTCTATAGCAGGACACTGTTGAATTTGTATAGATCTTCTCATGCAGCTTTATTTATAATAAAGGAAGTCTTGTACAAAATCTAAATGAGCATGAAGTTTCTTTTGTTTCTAGTTCCCTGCAAAAATGTTTCTAAGAGAGCAGAAGGAAGGAGTGGGGATGTTTCCAGTGTGATCCTAGCACAGTGAGCCCAGCAGCAAGAATCTCTGGAGAAATGATTCCAGAATGAACTGCAACATGAACATAAAGTGGGATAGCTATTCCAGAATAATGCCAGGGATGCCAGTCTTCTTGAGAATATGAATCCACAGGAAATCAAAGTAATTATTCTGAATATGTCTGCTCAAAAACACCCTCTTTTGTGGCAAGTCCTAAATAATGCTGATAGATTTTGCCCTTATGGGCTGAACAAGAAATCTAAATTTCCATTTCACCCAGAGGAATCCTTTTACCTGCTTATTTTATGGGTATCCACAGCCAAGTTCAGCAACCACCCACATCCTGCTTAACTCCTTTGCCTGGTTTAAGGGAATGACACCTCCTTGTTAATATTCTAATATGCTCTGGCTCTGGAAGCATACCCAGAGCTAGTCATTAATTCATATAATAAAAGCACCACTGTTTCCTTAGCAAAATGTCTTCCAGCTCCACAGAATGCCCTGCACACTTTTAATAACTCTGCCTTCCAGTGCTCACTGGGGCTGAATCACCACTGTTAGGTCTGAGAAGCAGCTGACTTAAGAGCTGCAGCCCAAATCTACTTAGCCAGAAGTTAGAATTTCCCAGGGTCAACCACACACTGGTGGAAGGGGAATTCTGTAGCCCAGGATCATCAGCAGTCTTGGTTTGGTGCAACTACTTTGTCAAAACAAAAAAAAAAAAAAAAAAGTCAAACCAAACAAAAATAAACCCATCCTGCTTCAAAGCTATCTGACTAGCTCAGCAACATTTTCTCCATTGAGCTCTTGATTTTCTAGAACACTTTTTTTCTTTGCCTCAGTTTACTGCTTCAGTGTTGCTGTGGAACATAAAGGGTAACATCCCTAAAATAATCCTTTTTCAGAAGGGCAATTGGCAGATTTTTGAACCATGCCATGACCATTATTGCAGTATTATCTGTCATAGAGTAAGCAGAGCAGAAAGAGAAAGCCACCCACTAGAGATTGGTTTTTAGCTTAAAAATTTGTCTAATGACTTTTTATCACTCATGGGGTAGCTGTAAGCGAAGACACAATCTCCTTTATTTCAAGCAGGCAGAAATACCTGTGCTATAAAAAAAAAATAGCAAAGCAACCTCAGAGGATATGGCAACTCACAAGCATGCTAACATGAATTCAGTAAGGTACCAGCAGGGATCAGACTGGTAACACTGGTCTCAGAATGGGATACTGCTCAGGATTTGCCCATACATTGAGCAGGTTCCATCCACTCTGCTCAGCTCTGCATTAGGGTTTGTTGCTTGCAGGACTAAAGGCTAATACAGGACTGTCCTCAAGTGCCACTGGCACAGGGTGAGATTTTAACTTATATTTCACTGGATTTTATTTGTTTGGGAAAAGGATGTCTCAAGGTGTTGGGTCATTGGGTTCAACCAAACATTGAATTGTTGCATCCCTTCCAAGTAAAATTCCAGGCAGTCCTTTTTCTGAAATAATAAATTTCTTATGGCTACATAAACTAGGTTATTTTTAGCAGTCTCTGTGTTCACACATCTGGGCCAGGGGGAAAGGCCTATGCTTTCATCTCCTTCCAAGTAGCTTCTGAATCCATCAAACAACTTTCACTCAATTTGAGAGAGCTCAGAAAAACCTCTGATAATCTTTAAGCAAGCAGGAATATTGGATAGGAGACAAAGACTCTCATAATGCTTCAAAAGCACAAAAGAGGGATTTTAAATGTTCCCAGTGCAATAAAAGGTAGCCTCATGTCTTCTTTGACCTGAAGAAATATGCTGTGAGAAAATGCAAAGTTGTGTTACTGCTTCTGCTGCTCTCAAAATGATCCACCCAACTTTGCAGCAGAGCCTTGAGGGAAGATGGATGCAAGCAGTTATTCCCATCATATCTATTGGACTAGTCTGGTATCAAAATGGAAATCTGAGTAAGCCCCTGCTGTGGATCAATTAATGTTACAATGTTTTTCAAAAGAAACTTCATTTTCCAGTTATGTTGCATTTAAGAGTGTCATCTGAGATTCCTCAACTGCTGGAAGTAAAATCTCTGGCTGCAGAGGCAGAGAACAAAGCTTCTCAGTCATTATTCAAAGGCAGCACCTCTGCAAATAAAGGCTCTGAGTTTACAAGTAATTATAAACCTGTCTAGCTAAAACCAGAGCTCACCCAGAATGTTAGAGGGAGAAAAGAAAGGTATTAGCTTTATTGATCTGTTCTGAGGGGAAAGCACAGAAAGTGCTGAGGTGAAACATTTAAATACAGCCTGTTCAGATATTTGAGTGCCTGTAAAATGTCTGACTGTGACACTATGTTAAAAATCATGCCCAAAAATAAAAATAAAACCAGTGAAGTTCTTAAAGGTGTCTTAGGCACTCAGCAGGAAAATAAGTCTATTTTAGATGTGACACCATCTTCAAATCCACTGGAGGGCCCACAGCCTTTAACAGTCTCAACTCAGAGATTCAACCATGTAAGGAGACAAGATTAAGTTTCTGTCTGTATTGTCCTACTTGGCAGGAGAGCCATGACACTTATAATGCCATTGGAAGTCCAATTAGGCACCTTTGTGCAGACCATCCAACATTCAGAATCCAACACAGTGCAATACAGCTTGGGGCAGAGCTAGGCAGGTCTGGGATCAGTAACCACAGTGCACAGCCTGACTCATCAGTCACTTCACCTCCCCAGATGCACCAAGAAATCCATTCTCTGGCTCCCAACCTTCAGTCTTGCTTTCTAGCCCTCTGCTGGGAATCAGACAGCACAGAGGGATTTCCCAAATCCTCAGGGAGATGGTATGTAGCTTGTGAACATGTCTCATCCCTACCTGCTCACACCAGGCAGGGCAGGGCAGCCCTGGATGGTTCCTGTGCCTGTAAGCACAGATGATCCACAGCAGCCCCTCCTGCCTCCATCACCTGGGAGTTCCCCACAGAACAGAGGTGTTCTGCACTCTCAGCAGGATATTCCTGCCAGTTCAGTTCACCTTCAGGGCTATCACATCATGTCAGTGTTACAAACCTCCAGTATCCAAAACTAGAGAAAAGCAAGGCTTGCCCACATGCAGCTGTCTACCAGAGCCCCACACTGACTCCCCTGCCAGAGCCACACCTGGCAAAGATTTGGAAGTGAAAGGTTTGATCCAGAGCAGAGATAGGCCAGCAGAGAACAGCCAAGACACATAAGGTATATGGAGAGGAACTGAGGCACAAAATCTGTGGGCTTGAATGCACAGGTTAGATCAGAGCTGCCTTCCCACAAACAGCTGATTAATGACCACACCTTAATTACTACACGTAAGAGGAGACAAACTCTGCTTCCAAGCCTAAACAGGCAGAGAAAAGAGCTCTGTGATGAATGTATAGGGGAAAAAAACACCCGCACTCCAACCTGTGGATTGGCCCAAAGCACATTCTTGTTGAGAGCTCCTTTCTGAGGATGGTTTGAGTGACAGAAGGAAAGGTACAAAAGCATCCTTTGGGGTAGAAGGAATGCTGCAGAAAGCTGCAGGAAGGACAGTATTAATTCATAATGTCTCTATTAGTCCTCACTGATTCTTCAGGCAGTCTGAAGCTGACAGCTTTTTTCCTCTTTTTTTCTCAGCCCTCCTATGCTTTTGCTGTGCAGTCACATAGGTGACTCATGCAAATGGTTTGCAGCTTACAGGAAACACTGCCTGTTCCCTACCCAGCTTGTGGCTGTGTTCAGTGCCCCTATTCCTGGCTCCCTTTCCACTGGAGAGATGGCTTTTTCCATCAGCTTTGCCAAGGGTGGTGGTTCTAAGACACAAACCTGCAGCACGTGCTGCAGCTCTCACAAGCTGCTTCCTGCTCACCAGAAGATGCTGTGAGAGGCACAGAACAGGCTCCACACATCAGCCCCCTCATACCGGCTGCATTCTCACTCCTGGACTCTATTATTGCAGACTGCTAAACAGCTGCCACATTCTACCCCAAGCACAGTTGCATCTCACTGACAAGTATTGAAACTCCTGTTTTGGTAAATCAAAGTGTTGTAGAAGGGGAAAAATACTAATGATATCATGTGGCATCATTACTTCACTCACATAAATCAGCAATTGCCATCCCTGTTGGCTTTGGGCTAGCAGTAGAAAAGACTGTTTCCATCTTACAGAAAATGGGGGTGATTTAGTAAAACTGCCCCTGACCTCATGACTTTAGAGGTACTGCATTTTCATGAGCCATTCCCAAGTGAAATCCATGTCTGAGGAACGGTGGTGAAATAATCAGGCTACTAGTAAAGACAGGAGAGAGGGTAACAGCCAGTTCTCAAACCCTGCTAATGCAGGGGAACATTAGAGATGCCATGACAGTGGAAAACTGGGGAGAGCAGTCCTAGGACATGTAACACTGTGCCAACACCTCATGCCCAACACGTGCACTCACAGCCAGGCCTGTCTGGTGAGCAGGACAGACAGCTGCTAAATGAAGCATGCAAGAATGTGACATTAAGCGAAACAGCAAAAAGTTGAGATTTCTGTTTCTCTTCCTTTCTGATTGACTAGAAAAAGCAACAAATCCACAGGCATCTGCGTCAAGTTGACACAAGAGTTCCACTTGTCTGTAGTACATTATTTTTGAAACTTTTCAAACCAGTATATCCAGTTACTACCACTTTCAGAGCAAGAAACACTGGCCCTTTTAATACCTCCCTAGACAGAAACGTTGCAACAATTTCCCAAGCAAGGGCCTTCTGTTAGAGCTGCAGTCCCACTCGCCCAGGTTCCCACTCAACTTACCCAAAACTCAGCAAAACTTCCCAGATCTGCAAACCTGGGATCCCCATTCCTTCCTCCTGTCTTGGCTCCCCTCTACCTTTCCCTTAGCTTCAATATAAGGGATCCTAAAATTATAATGAACAAACACTGGAACACATCTTGTATGGGAGT